TGTGTGTGTGTGTGTGTGTTCGTGTGTGTGTGTGTGTGTTCGTATGTGTGTGTACGGGTGTGTGTATATGTCTGTGTCTATCTGTCTTTTTATTGCATCGTATTTCATTTTATTTGCAGCATTGAAACGAAGAAGTGTAGAATTTCACCCGTTCGAAATTCTTTTCTTCTTCTTAAATACTTTAGAAAATTCATTTTGTTTATTGTTTGTTTATATGTTGTGATGCATTGTTACTACCATATGGTTAAATGTAATGTAATAAAAGCATACCTATTGCAACTTAGTAAAGCTTTCAACTCATTTCTGGCCATATGTTAGGCTCCATTTGATGATAGCATATTTGTTGAAGTGGACAATTAGTTTACATCAACAATTAATTAACAATACTACGAATAAACCTCATTAATTAATTAGTCGTCAGTTATATGCCGGTTTTTCTCCTTCAATTTTCTCCTCTAATTGTTAAAATAAAATTATCATCAAGTATTATTTTGAATTAGAATTTTGCCTGAATTATCATAGATGATCAGGATTGAAACGGTGACAACCATATATATTTTTTTAAGAAACAAATAAATGAAAGGACATTTGAAGGGGAAGAAATATCATTGCCAACATTGCTCTTGGCATTTGGGTATTTCTAAATCATGTTTGCTTAACTGTCATTGCTTAGCTTATAAGATTGAAGTAGTTGACATGCTTATTAAAGTCAATATCTTCCTATTTATTATTCCTATACTAGTGTCATCATTGTTGTCATTATCAGTGATAGTGCTATCACCATTGTTGTCATTATTAATGATTATTTAGAAAAATCCAACATACCAAATACATTTTTTTAAGAGAAAATGAAACTGAAATATAAATTTGATATTGTAATAATAGTCTGTTACCGTAGTAATTGCGAAGTAAGTGTCGATGAACTTTTTCGATATCCATTATTTGTCATAGCAATTCATTTAGTGGAAAATTATGAGATTACAGTTTTTGTTCCGTTTCGTTCCATTGTTAACACTTCTATCTCTCTCTCTAATAATTTTTTGTTTTTTTTTCTTTTTTTTTTCAAAAAAAATCGACGAAACAAACACCTAATATGCGTTAGTTATTTCTTCCTCTTTTTACAACCTTTCATAATTCTCAAATTATACTCAACACATATTTCTATTTTTTTTTTTTTTGTTAATTAATATTTCTTCATTGATATAATTTATCACAATTTGCGCCACACTTATTCATTATATCTTTTAAAAATGACTTACGTCAACTCCAATAAATATTTTTAATTTAAGGCATTTGTAAAAGAGAAAATTACAAAAGTAAAAAAAAAACATATTTGAAATTTATTTTATTTTACGGAAAATACTATTACGGATAGCACATATAATATTGTTAGGTTTTTTTTTTTTTTAACAATCAATTAATGATTTTTTAGGATACATTTATGACAAATGTATTTTTATTTTGTCGAAAATTCCCACTTTTATAACTACTTACATCGATACTTTTCACTTATATGTACATTAATTTAGATATATTTAAGCAACTTATTATTATCTGATATAATAATAATAAATTTATTATTATAATAAGTAATAATAAATATCTGATATATTTAAGTAAGCTTATTATCAGATATATTTAAGTAAGCTTATTATCAAATATATTTAAGTAAGCTTATTATCAAATATATTTAACTAAGCTTATTATCTCATTTTCATTAATTAATTTGCCAACGGAATCGTAACAAATCACATATTTATTGTCTTTTTTTTGTTTTTTTTTTTTAACCACACATTTTATGCGTACTTATTTATTCAATATTTCCTATCTTAGCAATATTCTTTATAGTGAAAAGAAAATTATGTTAATGATTAAATGTAAAAATTGCGTGTAACGATTAAATTCCAAACAATCATTTCGTCCCTTTACGTATCATTCACATTTTGAGGGTTATTAGCATCCACACGTTACTTTGAGAGTTAGCACGTACACGTTACTTTGAGAGTTATTTTGAAGGTTAGTATGCGCAAGTTACTTTTGATAGTTAAGTTTTATTTGTTCATTTAGATTTTATTTATTTCTAAGTGAAGGAAGGGAGGAATTCGATGGTATACGAAGTGTCTCGTTTGTTTTCTCACTTCTTTGTTGCCATGACGAAAATTATTTGCTTTGGGAAATAGTGTCA